ACATGTTGTGTTGTAGTCAAAAATAAACATCAGTCTTCTCACATACCTTCACTGACTATACCAATAACTGCTTCATCTCTAGCAGACATTTACTTATGTATAAAAACTTTAAACAGACTCTTCCACTATGTAACAAACTGTTTCTTCTAAACGTTTTAAATACTTTTATTTTGCAGATGTTCTCAGTTACGTGCAGCATCTATTTCACTTCTGTCCATCCTGGGAGAGGGATGTGGTAGTTTTACCCTTGTTGAGGATTAAGAGCAGAGGATGTGGCTCCTTGTTAAACCCTATGAGACAAATTGTGATTTGTGAAATTGAGCTATTCAATTAAAATTCGATTGATTGACTGCACAGACAGAAATGAGTTTTGCACGGGTTCCTTTATAAACCGTTTATTTGGATAAAATACCACAAAAAACTAGTCCAGCTCATGAGAAAACTAAAGTCCTTTTCTTCTCAGAGAACATTACACATCATTTTGACTAATTCTCCAGTTAAGTCATAATCTTTATATTCAAGTGTTTGTCACATAACAAGTGTCCAAATGTTTTACTCTATTCAAAGGCAGCACATCCTGTCACATGACATGAGACAGTAGGAGGCTGTGAAGCTCAGTAACACTTTCTTTACGTTTGACTCTGGGAGACATTAGTTACTATAATCATATATTAACTCATTTGAATAGATTAAGAAGAAGAAGAAGGAGATTGATTTATGAAGAAACACTAATAAAATAATCACCCTTTCTGTCACAAAGTTCAGTTTCATCTTAAAACAATAAATAGAAATAGAAGTCAGCAGGACATTATTCTCACGCTCAGCCGTCTCACATCTACGTGTGATCATTGATCATCAAACGCCCCTTGGGGCAGATTTTTATTTTCTTCTGTTCATAATAGAACAAACTCATCCATGCTGTTGTTTGTGTCGACTCTTCTCAGTTCATCTTTCCTCTGGATGTAGGTGAAGTTGTTTGTGGGTGTGTTGCTTTGCTCCTGTTCTTGACCATGTCCCTCTGCAAAGATGAACATGGGGTACGTCTCTGTAGATGTGGAGAGAGCCTGTGGGACAAAGAGGTAGAATCCAGATCAACACATACATAAGACATTTTGCTAAGAGACATCACCGTCTGAAAACTTTACAAACTGCACCAGATGAGACGCAGATGTTACGATACGATTCAAAGCCACACAGCAGAGGAAGGTTCCACGAATAAAGATTTAAAACCCTGGTCACGTACCTCAGTAACAATTGTGCATAGTGATTCAAAGTCTTTTTGACCTTTAGCATAAAACCCAATGGTACAGCTGGGGTCCATGCGTGAGACGGCCATTTTCCTGGGATATTTGCAGTGAAAAGACTGAAAGAAGAAGTAAAACAATATTCATCAGAAATAATCTCATTGGATCCATCGAAAATTCCTCTATACCTCCAAGTTCTCATGTGGATGTCGTCATTTACTTTTCTACTTTTAGAAAGTTTACATCAGTATTTCCCAACCAGCTCGTAACCCAAGGGTAGACAAAAGCTGATTTCAGTAATACACTGAAGTCCAGACAAACACAGTTTTTCTAGATATTTTACTGTGTTCATCTGTAAAAACAGCAATAGATTGTGAAGTATTTCTTATATTGAACATTTGGATCCAGCTCTGACACATTCAGAGCCCAACTGGTGGTGTAGAGCTGTGGGAATCCACCTGAAGAAGAGGTTGTGGGGACTAGTTTACGTGTCCCAGTAGACACGTTAGGAACCACACAGAGAGCAAATTGAAGAATTGAAACTTCACTTCCTTTTACCTCCAGGGAAAAATTCTCCTTTGTTATATCCACCGTGAGCTGACAGTAGTGAGGGTCCAGGTACAGCAGATTGTCATCTTTAACACCGCAGGACCAGAGGAAGGAAAAAACAAAGTGTAAAGCCTGATATCAAACACTTGTGCACATTAATTATCATGCTCACTGCTCTGCACATACCTTGGAAGCCGATGAAGAACAAAGAGTGTTTTGGTTTTCCCCCAATGATTCCGATGCAGCCTTGAAGTGTCAAGAGTTTCTAGGAAAACAAAGAATGCTCTGTTGTTCTTTGTTCATGCAACACAGTGATGTTTGCTTGTGCTTTGCAGTAGAGCAAAGATTTCTCTGTTTTCGTGTAGAAACCCACAACAGTGCGAACACAAAGTAGAGAGGGAGAAGGAACCCGAGTTGAAAACACTCAAAAGAGGAATCTGAGAGTAAATCTCTTTGAAGCTGCTCTACTTTTGCTGGAAAGTCAAAGGACGCACAAAGTAGTGACTGTATGAAAATTATGTTTGGATACTTTGACATAGGTGATGTAGGCGGGGTTGAGGTCTTGTCCTCCGAGTCGCACAGGGACCAGGATGATGACGGATTTCCAGGACTGAGGGGGAGGCCGCTCACACAACCGCTTCACATCCTCCATGTAAACTGGAAACATACAGAACGACAGAGACACACAGACATGTTCACACGGATGTCGAAATCCTCTCAAATCCATTTCAGGCTATTTAAGTGTGTAATTACAATGTTTAGAGAAGGTGAGTCGGTGATGATCATTTTCATTTTGTGCTGTGATTTGTGATAGTTCCGGAATCTGGTTCCGGAAGGAAACTTCCCTTCCTTTTCTCTATTTACGTTTAATTTGAATCCTTATAAAAACAGTTTGAAGTCAGGAACCAGGACGACAAGCTACGAGATGAACCATGACTGTGTACTTAATTTTTTCAGGAACTACACATCCCATAAACCTTTGCAACCAATAAACCCTTTCCATTGATTTCATGTGCTTCTTCTGAAAGTTAAAATCGTTTTAATGTAGTGTTGCAATAGTTTTGTCTTGTATGATTGTATTTAAGTTTTTTTAGTACAGTTAGATCGTAGCCGACATGATTTTCGTAGTTGTGGTAAATTTTTCCATTTTCACAGCAAACTCATCCAATCAGAGACACAACTCCTACACCTGAGGATTGTGGGTAGTGTAGTATTTCTCCTTGACGTCGCAAACGAAACAAATTTCTTAAAATGCAGTTGATAACATACGAACTTGTGCCTTCTACAGGAGCACATGCCATTGTTTCACAATCTTTTAGCTTGTGTTGAGTCTAACTTGGATGGTCACAATATTATGGCTGATGCATTTCTCTATTTGCACAACTGTTGGGCTACAAGGTTTGTTTCCAAGCACAGCGACATTTTGCCTTTTAGAACAGACAGCAAAGACAGCGTTGAAAGAAATGACTCACTGGTGCAATCCTGTGCAACATACACAACGAGATTGGGAAGGTCTGCAGATGCTGCCACAGCTTTCCTGAAACAAAATGACGTTCACAGTTACATCTTGAGAAAACCTGGCTCCAGATAATTGTGCTGGTATGCTACCGCTTCCGGTCTCACTGGAGGATGTGTGCCGCGATGGAAGGACCGTACCAGTCCCCAGCTTTCTTCCCTGAGCTTTTGCCCAACTCCACCATTCGGTGGATTCCAAAAGGGGCAGCGGGGTGGTCTGCAAACCACGACACCACCCTTCTGTGAGTGGCCTCCATGGGTCTGTCCAGGAGGGAACCCAAGCTCAGTTTTCGACACCTTTTTTTAGGCCCCTCCTGGAAACTCTGTCCTCTGTCAGGAGAGCAACTCTCAAGGTCCATGTCATCTTTGACCGCATGGTGGCTCACAGACCAAGTCCAACCTCAAAGTGATGAAACAATAAAAGCAACATGAGAATTGTGGAACGTGACTGTCTACTTGAAAAAGTTTATCATGGGACCGTGACAGATTCTTTTGTTTGTTGCTGCAGTGAACAATTAAAATCCTCTGGTTTTCCAAGCTGAAAGAAAAACTCACAATCTGACGTGCAAGAGGTGGATGGAACAAAATGTTCTGTGCAGCTTTTGATCATTTAAAATCGTGTGGCGTGTTTGTTTCTACCTGGTGGCATGAGGTGTAAGAGGAGACCTTGTGCCAACAGCATCTGCCCCGAACGTAGAACACAACCCCAGCCGCTGTCGGTCGTCAGAGAAGAGCCGGCCAGCGGAGGGAACCCACGTCTGTACGTCAGCCACAGGAGGGAAACAAAGGTACGACGGAAAAGCTCTCTGTCCCCTGACATACGTACAGAGCTTGAATGTTAAAGTTCCACCACGATTATCACATGAATGAGATCATTTTAGATTTCGGTATAAAGGCCAAATGCTCAAGGCCTCACCTTGATCCTTGAGCTCGTAGGATTTTCCAAGCAAGATCACAGGAGAGCTCTTGCTGAATTTTGATTTCTGCTTCAAGGTCCAGCCTGATATATGAGGGGGAAAAAGGAGAAACGGTTTAATCTCACATTTCCTCAAGGCGTTCTGGAGATATCGAACAAATTAGTTCAAGTCCAAGTGAACATTTGCACCCAAACAGAAAACAAAGCTACGGCTTCCACAACAGTTGTGGAAGCATACAAACTGACCATATTTCACACTGTTCCATGCTGAGACCAACTTGGACCTGAGTTTGCTTCTGTCCACGGCCTCCTGGATGTCACTGCCCACTTCCAGGACCTGAGGCCCGGCAGATTCTGAGGAGAGGAACAGCCAGTCGTCCATTTGTTGGTCTGCAGAGGACAGACTATCACAGCGGGACGTAGCCATGCTGGGATTCATACGAGATGACCAAGACTAGAGGAGACGAGAGTAGCTCCTTATCTCCAGGGTAACCTAAATGAAACAACGACAGAGCAGCAGACGCAGATGACGTAGCCATGAGTTTTTCTTGAGACAAACCAGGTCTGGACCTGGAAGCGGGTTAATGTTAAGCACAGCAAAGTCAATTATTCTCCATGACAGTCAGTAAAGACTCAAACCACATGACTTCACCCTGTGACTCAAGGAATTTCAGATATGTCAGTTTAGCTGCCGCAGGAGGTGTCCAATTATTCTCACCCACATTTGTTCTGCTCCTTCTAAGATATTACATTGACAGGTTGAAGGATTCATACAGTATATATATCTTATACGTCACGAAGGTGTACTGACCAGGAAGTACTAGAAGTACTCCCCCCTACTGACATAATATCAGTGGGCCTTTTCCTAGTTTTCCTTCTTTTATGTATGCGTGTCACTGCCTTTTTGTCTTTTATTGTTTCATTTTAACAACTGTACTCTTATGAAGCACTTTTTTTGCGACTTGAAGGAAAGACCATGTTTATTCTGCAGAAAATTCCCTTAAATTAGATCATCCGTGTGTCTGCAGCCTTTTCCTGTTGTGGCTGGTTGAGGTGGAAATAGTTTGAACTACTTCACGCACAGTTCAGTAGTTTAGAAGAGGATCTCCAAACCTCAGCCGCTCCAAACCTCAAGATAAATCTGATGGGGACATTTTCAGAAATAAACTTCCTGAATCTAGTCTGAAACCTCAGGGGGACAGAGCGTTTACCATCAGGGCCCTGAGGAAATAATTCTATCCGAGATGCTGTCGTCTTTCAAAATACACAGTATTTTAGACATATTCCTGAATTTCCTTGGGTTGCTCTGTCTTTTATCTCTATTATTATTATCATGATAATTGATTTACTTCCCTCTGTGCTCTAACCGTTTGTTTCCTGTTGCACTGGTTTAGTTTATCTGTTCGGTCATTTCTGTGTAATCCTGCTCATAAAATCCTAACCTCCTCAGCAGAGGTAACTAAATGGAAATAATCAATAAAGTAATAATAATAATAAAGTAAATGACATCTCATACAGTACTTAAAGTAATGTACAGTTACTTTCCACCACTGGTAATTACAGCCATATGATAGTGTGACACGAAGAAGAGGGGACAGTCTCTGATTTAACACAACAGAAGAATGAAAATCATTTTCCAAAGTAAAACAGTATAAACATTAAAACTGTTTAATGTGTATTTTATGTACAACACATTTGTATTGTAGCCTTTTGTTTTCCTGCTGAGCTGCACTTTGTGCTCTATAAATGAAGTTATTATTATTATTATTATATCTAACTAAACTACACAACCCTCTGCACATCTGATGTCCTGCCTGTTTGCACACAGTTACAGTTGTTACTTTACAAATGTCACACTGCATATAGAATGTGCATAGTTTTGTTTTTGACTTGTTTTACAGTAATGACTTTGCTTTTACTTTAATTGAACTATTCCACCGCTGAGCTGAGCGGTTTCCTCTTGTCTGACACCTTTCTTTGCTGTTGATCTTGTGTTAACTTGCACACGACAGATAAAAATACAATTAAATCTCTATTCTATTCCAAAAGCAAAACACATCACTTTAAATGACTTTTAAAAAACATTTTAAACAGCAGGTTTAACTAAATGAGACAAAGTGGTGGAAATTAGTGCCAACACATGTACATTCTACATCTCATATAAAACAGAAGATATATTTGTCATGTAGCACGTTTACCAACTTACTGACACAGAACTTAGATTTCATACAACTTGAAATATCTGTAAAAAAACACGAAGCACACATTTTAAAACCACAGATGTGAGATATTTGAGAATTAAACTAAGTTCTCATCTTGTTTTTAAATGTTCAGTCACTGGGCGCAGAGCTCGTCCTGCTGCAGACAAACTCAGGAGGATGATAATAATAATAATAATATAAAATCTTAATCTTAATAAAATCTTTACCTCCATTCAGGCTCCGTCATCGCTGCTCCAGGACTTAGACCGAGCCCCTGACTGAGCTCCGCCGGAGAACTCGGTTTATTTTCCGTCACTTTCAAACATCCGCAGCGAAGCGACAACCAGCTCACACTTCCTGTTTATGCGCGTCACGTGATGCGCGGCTGCTCTGATTGGTCGACAGAGGACCAATCAGATTGATCACTGAGGTTCCCCTGCATTATAATAAATTTTTTATTCCTCATTGTATTTATTTATTTCTGACCTCACAGGAACA